GCACCCTGAGCTACTCCCCTGACCCCCACACAGCCCCTGGCTACCCCCTCTCTGCACCCTGAGCTACTCCCCCTGACCCCACACAGCCCCTGGCTACCCCCTTCCTGCACCCTGAGCTACCCCCTGCCCACACACAGCCCCTAGTTACCCCCTCCCTGCACCCTGAGCTGTTTTCAAACTTTTGGAGCTGAGCCCCCCACCTTTGAGTTATAATTTTTGGTTGCGTCCCCAACCCAGACAGGCTGGGTGGCCTGCTGAGGTGAGTTGGGGGTGGAGGTGATGCTCCCTCCCCAGACCCCCATCTTGCAGAGCTGACTCGAGCCCCACTGGCCCCTGCCCACCCAAAATAAAAGTCAAACTACACCTATGTCTGAGCCCCTCCCCTCCCAGCCAAGAGCTTTGAGTTCCCCCCTCCCATGCTGGGCCCTGGTGTTTTTCTAGCATGTTGTGGGGAGCCTCAGAAAGAAAAAGGTTGAGAACCCCTGGTGCAGACCAGGCCTGAGACCCTATGTACGTTCTCGGGGGCTAGCCCAAGCCTCTGCCTGTACCTGCACCTGCATGGCCATACTGCTATTTTTAGTGTGCTAGCTTGAGCAGAGCTGGGAATTACACCTTCTGCTGCAGTGTAGAGATAACCCCTAATGTGGACAGGAATTGAAATAAGTTCTACCGGCATAAGGCACCTTTGTACTGGTAAAACTGTGTCTACACTAGGGCTTTTCCCAGTATAATCACGAGGACAAAAAAACCCCACACCCCTAACTGACATAGTTATACCAGTAAAATATAAAAGTGGACCGCCCCTTAAAGTGCGATTTATGTGTACAGACAAGGCCATAGGCAGGAAAGGTGTGTTGGAAATGCCCCATTGACAGGACTCAATCGAGGTTCTGAAATAGCCTCCAAGACGGTGTCTGAATGGCGCTGCAATCCAAACAGCTCACGGTTAAACCGATTCACCTCTGTTCTATCCCGCACAACTGCGGACGCTTCCTGTGGCCACTGAGTGGAGCTTCCTTTCTGTGCTCTGTGTAGCACATCACACCCTTTCATTTGGTTCTCCCACTGCTGTCTGTGAGCCACCTTCCATGCACCCACCAGCTACCTGGAATCCCCTTCCTAACCTGATCCACCACAGCTCTGCCCTCCAAGACACGTCCTGAAATTCAAAGCTATTGTATGATCTTATTGCTGTTTCCCTGAGCTTCCCTCTCCAAACTTGGATCCATCTTTTTCTAGAAGTGCACAGCTCCCATGGTGACAGATACTTGATTAAAACCTAGGTGGACAAATTAGCTCTCAACTTTTAGAGTGTGCACTCTTGGGGCAAGGACATTGTCTCCCTTCTCTGTAAGGTGCCATACACATTCAGGGGGCTTTATAAATAATAATCTCGTTAGGTGTATCTAGAACGGGAAGTTCCACCTCCTATTTTACCAATAGCAATAGCATCAGTGAGGCTGTAGTATAGACAGGGTGCATGCATTTCCCCCCTGTGGTATCTAACCCACAGAGCTGTAAAAATGCCCGAGCTATTTGTGTGTTACTTTTCCCACCATTGTAACCAGCAGTGGATAACAATGGGGTCTTATCTTTTTCCTAGAAAAGATCCTGATGAAAGCACTTACAATCCAAAATGGCCAAACTGCCACAGAGGGCACAGAAGTGGAGTCACTTGACTCAAGTCACAGGGCCAGGGCTGCCAATAAGAACGCTCCTGACTCCCAGTACAGTGCTCTATCTGCTACACTACACTTACACCTCCCAGCTGCTCCGCCTGTCACTAGTGCTAGCAGCCAATGGGAGCCCACAGAGCATTCTCATTGGCCAATGGCACTGTGACCCACTCCTCAAAGCCCTTGGATGCTATCAGCTTAAGATACCCCTGGCTGCTTACAAGCCAGACGTCAAGGTGGATTATAAACTGTGTAGGGCAGGGCCATGTTCCTTTTATGTCCTACCTAGTGCAGAGCATATTGTCTTCATTTAAATAACAACAATAAACCATAATCAAGCTGCCCACACTCCATGCCATCTGCCTCTATTTATTTCAACTACTGTAGTTACCATTCCTCCACACTGTTCATCTCAAACACTCCCTGGGCGCCAGGATTTCTATGGTGTTAGTTAACGTGCCCCATTTTCCTCCCTGTACGCTAGTCTTAGTGTTCAGATGCCAGCAGGTGTGTACAAAGAACACAGGTGCCAACCTGCCCTATTCAATAAAGCTGGTACCTATTACTTTTTAAACACTTTTCTTTCTATCTTCATGTTATAATAAAGACCAGCTGCGCCCAAAGCATTTCAAACGGAGCTAACTCTGTGCCCATTTCCCCTCCCAAACACCCCTATTAATTGCCATTCAATGTTTGGCATCTGTGCCAGCCACATGGGCACCCCTGAGGAGTTTATGGAGCGATGCTGCCAGGTTTGGATGGACCCTTCCTTACCCCTTCAACTCTGCTTTGCCTCTCACCCTTCCACCTCGGGCCTAAAGTCACTCATTAACTGCTCAATCACTTAAGTCTGGAGCCCAATCTCCCCCTACCCTCAGGAGGTCAGAAAGCAAACAGGGAGCTCTCAGGGGGCCATTATCTCCCAGCTCCACAGTACACACAAAATGAATGAGCAAACAGAACCGTGGAAAAAATTAGATCAATCCCATCATGGCTGTGGCATGGGGGGGAGGCTCTCAGAAGCTTGGGTAAGTCACTTTGATTCCCATGTCTCTGAACCTCTGGCTGCAAACCTGGTCCAGTTGTCACATACAGACGGGCCTTCTCATGAGCTTTCTGTCACTCTGGCCCCTGCTGTAACTGGAGCAAGGAAACAAAGAGGGTATAAAATGTGGGCCCAGGCAGTGCTGAGAGGGAGAGCTAGGTTAGGGGGAGAGGAGAGGATTTTGGTTCAAAGGGGAATTGTGACTAGGGTTCAGGACTGGATTCAACAGTGCCGAAATGCTGCTAGTTGCTCTTAGGAGATGTCTGCCCCCGAATGGTGGAAATTTCCTGGGTCCAGCTGATCTAGCAAAGCCTCCACCATCTCAAATCTTGCAAGGTCAGTTTCCCCTGCAACAGTTCTGCTGTCTTGGACCATTCTGATGAAATTTCATCCAGATCTGAAACAGAACCAGAAAACAAGCCTTTTCTCATTGTGGGACTGCCCTGGACAGGGCCGTAACCAGAGCGGGGCAAAGGGGGCAGCCCCCCAGGGTGGGAAAGCCACCAGGGTGGGAAAATGGAGTGGGAGGTGGGCACATGGAGTCACGTGCCCCCTCAGATTTCTGCCTTCCATTTAGCACAGAGGTTTTCAAACTGAGGCGTGCCTGCCAGGAGCCAGTGGATTGGAAGTTGGTGGGAGCTGTGTGGCCCACTTGGGCCCCTGGCTCTCCACACAGTGGGAGCTGGTTGGCTCCCCAGCAGCCCTCCCTGCCATGTTCCCTTAGCTGGGCCATCCCTGCACATCTGGGCGCTCCCCTGGCAAGGCAGGTGACAGAAATCCAAGCTGCGCCCCCAACACGCTCTTGCCTCTCCTCTGAAGGAGTCCAGTGCCAGCCAGTGACACCCCCGGGAGCTGGCCCTGGCCTGGCTGCCATGAGATGCTCCCCGAAGTGTTCGCTCGCTGCTGCCCAGCTCTGCTGATGCTCCTCAGTCCAGAGGCGACATGTGGGATGGTCACATGCCCCCTCCCGAACCTTTAAATTGTGCCCCCCCCATCAAGAGTTATTCTTCAATCAACCTAGCTACCGCCTGTTGAGGGGGTGGATTAACTACAGTGATGAGAAAAACCCTTCCACTGCTGTAGCAAGTGTCTTCAGCTGCCGCTGCAGTGTAGACACAGTCTAAATGGACAGGATAGACAAAGGGTGGGAGGGGAAACCAAGGCACACAGGTTCAGTGACTGCCTTGCCCAAGCTCACACAGCAGGTCAGCATAGGCTCTCATGGCTGCTCTTTTAAACACTGTAGAGAGACCTGCTCTCGGTAAATATGCCCAAGTCCTCCCTCCGCTACAGCTCCCCGTGCCTGTTGCTATCGCCAGTGGGGAGTTACAGGTTCCAGGAAGCCCAGAGTGAACAAGGCCCTAAGGATGCTGCAGCCCAGCCAGTGACCCTCTCCAATCTCCCCTGTTTTCAGTGCCCCTTGACCCAGCTGGTTGATTGTTTCTTCAATTGCCTGGTCTTAAGGGCATTCGCATTTCAATGAGCCCCCTTAGGCTTTGCACTGAGGTGGACAGGGTGTGGGAGGTGCTATTGTTTACTGGAGACTGTTTTCTGCAAAGCTGGGCTCAAGGCAGCAGCCTGCTGGTTTCACAAGGAGGACACTGAAGAAGCAGCAAAATCCTTTAAAGAAAATCCAGCCTGAAGATTTATATTCTGTGCCACCCGGGAACCTTTACCTGGGAAAAGATTGAATCTCCATGGCTCTTTACTAACGTGCTTTGGAAAAGACCCTCCTTCTGCCCTCTCCTCTGAAAAGGAAACCCTGACACGTGCAGTGGTGAACATGCCTCTCAGCGAGAGCCTACAGAAGCACAAGCCCTGCCCTCTAGTTCTAGCTCATATTCTCCATCCCTCAGTAACACAGGTGCAGCTCAGCTTGCATTTGCGATGCTCCTTATATTTTCCTCATCCGACTGAGGCCTTGGCTCCACTTGGGGATTCACAGCGTTGCCGCGGCAGCGCTGTGAAGCGCGAGTGTAGTCGCGCCGCCAGCGCTGCGAGAGCTCTCTTGCAGCGCTGTAAGTACTCCACCTCTCCGAGGGGAGTAGCTTGCAGCGCTGCAGGCTCTGATTACACAGGCGCTTTACAGCGCTGCACTCACTGCGCTC